CGAGGACAGCGAAGACATTTAGAGACAGCAGAGTCTCAGCGAGGACAACGAAGACATTTAGAGACAGCAGAGTCTCTGCGAGGACAGCGAAGACATTTAGAGACAGCAGAGTCTCTGCGAGGACAGCGAAGACATTTAGACACAGCAGAGTCTCTGCGAGGACAGCGAAGACATTTAGACACAGCAGAGTCTCAGCGAGGACAGTGAAGAGGTTTCATACCAGAACTAACAGAACAGGATTAGGACTACAGTCTCAGGAAATGATATAAAAACATTATTTTACACCCTGGCCCTGATCCTGTTCTGTAGTAATGACAGTGAGATTTAAGAAATGTGGTTTTAAAGGACACTGATCAACCTTTTGTTTGCCATGAAGGTAACAAATAGAGGGAGGTCCAGATTAGATTAGATTAAGGCGAGCCTCCTGACAGGGGTAATAATAAACAACACACACAAGTTCTGTCGGTTCCTCAGCACGGGCTGCGTTGTGGACGACCGCAGCAGAAAACAACACTCTAGCTTTCTGTGTACTTCAAGAGGAACCGCAGACCCTTTTACAGGAACGACTGAACGTTCGGCTGAATATGCAACCGAAACACAACCGATCGTCCCGTTCAGACGAGCCGAACACGGTGAACTTACGGGCGTAGCTGCCAGTGAAGCCGGCCTGAGTCAGACATCTCTGGAGCTCCTCTGCGTCGATCTCACCGTCCTGCACAGAGGAGCGAGTCGCGCTCAGTCACGTGACACAAACACACTGAAATAAAGTTCTCACACACTTTACAACCATCTAGTTTCTGCTTTTTGAAAATGACCTGTTAATAATGTTAATATCAGAGAAGATAAGTAAATCCAACAAAGTTAATTAAGTCAGGTCCTCTGGACAGTTTCATATTTCATCCAAAGGACTTCATCAGTCCGAGGAGCCACAACAAACTCAGTCCCACTCACACAGTGGGCCAATCAGTTTGATGGTGATAAAATGGTTTCTGGAGTCCGCCCTCTCCCCTGTCGATTCCTCTGAGGCACCCATAGCCGAAGTGGTTCAAAACATCAAAGTTCATGCTCAATAATCCAGTTAGAAAATCCAAGTTCAGTCAATAACTTTGTTGGATAATAACTAATGTTTTGAACCACTTTGGCTACGGCTGCCTCAGAGGAATCGACAGGGGAGAGGGAAGACTCCAGGAACCATCTCGCCATTAAACTGGTTGGCCCACTATACGAGTGGGCTATTTATGGGACTCAGTTTGTTGTGGCTCGTCAGACTGATTAAGTCCTTTGGATGAAAGACAAAGAAACCGTCCAAAGGACCTGACTGAACTATGTTGGATTTTTTACCTGGATTACTGAGCATGAACTTTAGTAGATGCAAAATAGTTTTAAATGATTTTATTTATTCAATAATATGAAGAAACCTGACCCTGTATGCAAAAATAATAACCCCCTAAATCCAATAACTGGTTGACCCACACATGGCGGAAACGACGTCAATCCAGCATTTCTGATTAATGGCAATTTGTTCACATGGCTGTTGAGGAATATTGCTGCTGGGCTTCAGATCATCGACCTGCAGCAGAACACGAGTGATGAACTGATGACTAGATGATCTCCTTCCACCTGTTCCAGAGTCAGGTTTTGGGAGCAGCAGCTTGAGCAGGGAGGTCCAGACAATTCTTTCCACGGTCGCCTCTTTCAGCTCTTCTGGAAAACCTCAAAGACATTCCCAGGCCAACCAAGGGACATGGTCTCTCCAGCGTGTCCTGGGTGTTCCCAAATATCTCCTCCCAGTTGGATACGCCTGGAACATCTCCTAGGGAGGTGTCCAGGGGGCATACTCACCAGATGCCCAAACCAATGGGAGTCTATCCTGGATAACTGAACTGCTCCTCCTAATCTCCAATGGAAGAGTCCAGTTCAGCTCAGCTACCTCTTCGCCATAATGGACCGGCTCAAAGTTCGCAATAGAGGCCTGCAGAGCTTTAGATGTTCTTTTGGGTCTCCTGGGTGAGTCGTCACTTGGCTTGGCCAGCCACTCCTGAAAGGTTCACTACTGTTCTATAGTCACTCCATTTGTGTAGAACATATCCATTTTAAGAGATTTCATCTCTGTAGAGTGTGTTCCAACTACGGGGGATCACGCTCTTAAGCCTCCCTGGTAAGGTCTATTCGGGGGTTCTGGAGAGGAGGGTCCGTCGGATAATCGAACCTCAGATTCAGGAGGAGCAGTGTGGTTTTCATCCTGGTCATGGAACACTGGAACAACTCTACACTCTCAGCAGGGTCCTGGAGGGTGCGTGGGAGTTTGCCCAACCGGTCTGCATGTGCTTTGTGGACTTGGAGAAAGCGTTCGACCGCGTCCCTCTGGGAACCCTGTGGGGGGTACTCTGGTAGTATGGGGTACCGGGTCCTTTGATATAGGCTATTAGATCCCTGTATGACCGGTGTCAGAGCCTGGTCCGCATTGCCGGCAGTAAGTCGGGCTTGTTCCCGGTGAGAGTTGGACTTCACCAAGGTTGCCCTTTGTCACAGATTCTGTTCATAACTTTTATGGACAGAATTTCTAGGCGCAGTTTGGTGACTTTAGGATTGCGTCTCTGCTTTTTGCAGATGATGTGGTCCTATTGGCTTCATCTGATCGTGATCTACAGCTCTCGCTGGAGCGGTTCGCAGCCGAGTGCGACACGGCCGGGATGAAGATCAGTTCCTCCAAATCCGAGGCCATGGTCTTGAGCAGGAAAAGGGTAGAGTGCCCTCTCTGGGTCAAGGAGGAGGTCCTGCCCCAAGTGGAGGAGTTCAAGTATCTTGGGGTCTTGTTCTTGAATGAGGGAAAAATGGAGCGTGAGATCGATAGGCGGATAGGTGCAGCGTCTGCAGTGAAGCGGGTGCTGTACAGGTCTGTCGTGGTGAAGAGAGAGCTGAGTCAAAAGGCGAAGCTCTCGATTTACCGATCGACCTACGTTCCTACCCTCATCTATGGTCACGAGCTTTGGGTTGTGACCGAGAGAACGAGATTTCGGATACAAGGGGCCGAAATGAGTTTTCTCCGCAGGGTGTCTGAACTCTCCCTTAGAGACAGGGTGAGAAGCTCGATCATCCGGGAGGGACTCGGAGTAGAGCCGCTGCTTCTCCACGCAGCGAAGAGAGAGAAGCAGAAGAGAGATGTGAAAGATCTTTTTTTTGTAATACCACTATCTACCCTCATGTTTCTCCCCCTTTTCATATCTAAGATTATTATCTGATAAGGATAAAATGGCCGCGCTCTCCTGTAGTTGCAGCTTCGTGCACTCTGCCCATCTTTCGGACAACTGTACGTACATATTCGCGTTGTACCTCGGTGCAATTCCAATAAAGTTTATTCTGATTCTGATTCGAGAGGAGCCAGTTGAGGTGGCTCGGGCATCTGGTTAGGATGCCTCCTGGACGCCTCCCTGGTGAGGTGTTCCGGACACGTCCCACCGGGAGGAGACCCAGAGGAAGACCCAGGACACGCTGGAGGGACTATGTTTCTCGGCTGGCCTGGGAACGCCTCGGGACACCCCCGGATGAGCTGGCCCAAGTGGCTGGGGAGAGGGAAGTCTGGGCCTCCCTACTTAAGCTGCTACCCCTGTGACCCGACCCCGGATAAGCGTAAGAAAATGGATGGATGGAGATTTCTTGCTGCTACAAGTCTGCTGGCAGTAATCAGACCTGGGTGTAGTTGGTTAACTAAGATTAGCTACACACCCCCGCACCCACCAAAAAAGTTCTAGTTAACTATTTGTAACATCTTCTTATCAGCCTGTACTGTTCTATAAACAGTCTACATAGATTAGTTGCAACATTGATTATGTGTGGAGTTCCTCAAGGTCCACTTTGGTTGGCCTTGTCGCGGTTGTAAGTGCTCTATAAATAAAATGGTATGGTATTCCAGGTCCTGTCCTGTTGTCATAATTTGTTTTACATTTATTTTTAGAAACAGACCTTTGTTATTTGTTATTATTAAGACCTTTATTAAGACTTTAAGATTAAAAACAAAGTATTAAGACCTTTGTTATTTGTTATTAACTTAGATGAAACGTTTCAATGAGTTTTTTTATTTTAATTTCTTTAAATCCATCCAGAGGACCTAACTTAACTTTGTTTGTTAAATTATGTTTTACAAAGAGTAGCATCTACTTTTCCTTTTTTTTTTATTTTTTTTTTTTTTTATCTACTTTTCCAAATAGTACCAGGTTGGTTTGAATATCTTTTTATCCTCCTTCAATAGTTTCAGAACAGCATTTTCAATTTTAATTTATCTTTGTCAAATATTAACATTCATTTGCTAAACATTTATGCACGACAAAAAAACAAAAAAAATGTTAGGGATGAATACTTTTTCACACAAATACGCAATGCTGTGAAGAGACTGACCTGCTGCTTAAACATGAAGTTACATTTAAATTTTTGTTAGAGACAATATTCAAGTATAGTACATGTAAAATAAATGAATGTTGTAGTAAAAGCATAATCAGAGCTGTGGAACAAGACTGTTTCTTTAACCTAAAACAAATAGGACAGGACTTGGAATAGGACCTTGAGGAACTCCACACATAATTGATGTTGCTGCTAATTTACGTAGACTGTTTATAGAACTGTGCAGGATGATAAGATGTTACAAACCAGCAGACTTCTCATAACCACAAGGTGATAAAAAAAGGTAATCTGAAACTCTTAGCAGGCCCAGTTCAGCACTGTGTTAGTTTAAAATAAGTCTGAAACGTCTTACTGATGCAACCTTCCTTCAGAAAAATTTATAACTAGGCCAAACACATCAAAGGCCCTTAGATAAAAAGGGCTAAGTTAAATTGGATATGAGCCAGAAGTGTTATACACTGGAAGGCGCTAAATGACTTGAAGAAACTAGACCACCGCCTGTTTAAAAGCAGCAGGAACACGGTCTGAATTAAAAGTTGTTTCAATAAAATAATCACACGTTATCTTTTCTTTATTCATCAATGACTGTTGTGTTAACCCTAAACATAAAGAACATGTACCGTTGCAAAAGAATAATTAAGAAGACTTGAACATCAACCAGTCGTTCAATGAACCCATTAAGAACAAGTCGATTCTTGTTTGACCACGTCAGGACAGAGTTTCTTCCCCGGAACTTTGTGTTTAAAGAATGGACATATTTCTATAAAAACATTTTCCTGTTCAGGCTTGTTGAACTAAAAAGAAGCTCTCCCTGCAGTAAAAGAAAACTTACAACTATACATGTTAAGAAAAAAAAAAAAGTGGCTCCATAATTACCTGTCCTGCTATAGCTGTAAAGTAGCCCCACATTGGATCATTGGCGGCAGGTGCCTGAGCGCCAAATCCACCTGGATAACCTCCTCCGTATGAGGCGTAGCCTCCATGGGGTTGGGCGCCTCCCATCGGACCACCCATGTGTCCAGGCATGGGACCGCCCATGGGTGCTCCTGGCATTCCTTGGGCTGGCATGCCTGGCATGGGGCCACCATACTGAGGAGACATGTGTGAGAAAGAACAAAACGCCGCCTAAAGTCAGATGTGAACCGCATCAAAATCAGCCCATCAGAACTCTTGCAGGTGAAGATGACCTCATCATGTTCACATGATGGAGCCCAAGATACTCAAGCAGACTGGAAACAGTGGAATTGGGAAAATAGGGGTTTATAGCAGCTGATTGTCAACTATAATAACCCACGTTTTCCCATTTCTTCAACAAATGCTCAAAAACAGCAAAGAATACTAGACCTGTTGCGATAAACAAATCAATTAATCGCATGATAAATGATGAAAATTATCTACCTCATTTTCATTTATAAGCTTTATCGTGTCTTTGTGTCTCTCTCTTTCTACTCTAGACACTCTTCACTGACCCCTCCCTTTCTCTTTTCCATTTAAAATCTGTTTTAACCATCTAAAATCGCGTTTTTGGATCGATAAAAGCAGCTAAGCTGAAAAGCTAAGCTACGAGCTAAGCTAACAGGCCGACCTCAGTGGGAAAAAAACCTCCCGTCTTGTTGAAGCTCCAAAATCCTCGGTTGAAATCCGTGCCTTTGTATAAAAAGTTTTTCTCTGCAAGAACTCAATCCACACCAAGCATCCGCCATTTTGAGAACTTAAGAAAGGAAGGACAAACAGCCCTTGTCACGTCAAAGGGCCTCCCTCCCATTTTCCTTAGAGGCACGCTGCTCGCTCTCTCAGTATCCATCCTTCGGTTCAGTCTTATACTGCCATCCAGTGGTCAAAAAAAGGCACTACACTCTAAACAAATTAACCAACATTTCTTCTTAAATTTGACAATAATTACTAATTAATGTCAACAATGTTATCGTTTAACGCAATAATTTCTGAGAATTAACCGCCCAGCAAAATTTGTTACTGTGACAGGCCTAAAGAATACACCTAACATACGCTGAAGGAATGCATATCACCCACCGTCTGTCATGTCAAACTAATATCCTGTAAGATTGGGAATATCTTGCTAAATTTTGATAGATCTGATGGCACTCAGAGTAGGCGTCATGAATGACTCGCAGCTACTAACAGACAGACTCCAATATATATATATATATATATATATATATATATATATATATGTTTGCTAAGGTAGCTATGCTGAAAATTAACTACATTTTTCAGACCTAAAAGGGCTCTATTGACCATACTGTTGTTCAGACTGCCAGATTATTATTATTATTTTTATAATGACTACTTTCCAGCTTCATCTTTATATTCACCCCACTTCCACCATCATTCTTAAAAGAAGCGGAAACACTTTTGATTTCAACCGTTCTTCTCTATTAACTAAAAAGCTTCATGAATAATCAAAGAGCTCACTTAACGTTAGAAAGAAATTAGATAAGAATGTTCTGTCACCACTTAGCCTAATGTTTCAATCCTGACAAGGACGGCTAACTTCTTGTGTTCGCTGATAGGGGAAATTCGTCTGCCTGTTAGCAAAACATCTCACAAACCAATGGACAAATTTTATAGAAATGTTCATTTAAACATTTGGATGTTCATCTACAACCGATATGTTTGAAGCCAACATGATACATGGCTGTCGCAGCTAATTGATATTAGCAAACACACAAACGGCTGTAACTCGGTAAGTTTTATAGATATTACCCAAAAATTTGGCGTGGTGGAAGCCGAAAGTGATCGCAAACACCGACTGAGTGTTTATCACGCCTAGACTGAACTATTGCAATGGTTTATTATCTGGTGTCCAAATACTTCTTCAAAAAGTCTTCATTTAATCCAAAATGCTGCTGCCAGAGTCTTAACTGGAGTTAGTGGGAGGGATCATATCTCTCCAGTTTTAGCTTCTCTCCATTGGCTCCCTGTCAAATCCAGAATAGAATTTAAAATCTTACTTCTAACCTACAAAGTTCTCAACAACCTAGCTCCATCTTATATTACAGATCTTATTGTTCCATATTTTCCTAACAGAGCACTTCACTCTCAGACTGCAGGTTTACTTGTGGTTCCTGTAGTTTCCAATAGCGAAGTGGGAGGAAGATCTTTCACTTATCAGGCTCCTCTCTTGTGGAACCAACTTCCAGTTTCTGTCCACAAGGTTCACACATTAGCTATGTTTACATGCGCAACATTTTTTTAACCGGATTGAAATCTTTTCAGATTAAATAATTCAAATGTATCGTTTATACATGGACACAATCCGTTCAGGACGAGCGTTTACATGCAGCGGGCTTTGTTCTGAACAGAAGTACTGACATGCGCAGAGTGGTTAAAATTTCCGTAAAAAAATACAGAAGAAGAAGTTCTACTTCCAGAATGAACGTAAACAAACCCGAGCGCCCAAAATGGACCCGCGACAGGTTTTAATGACGGTGGAGACGTTGCTGCACTCCCCGACTGAACTACAGGTGATGCAGATCATTTTGAGCTCTTTCAAAGTTTCTAGTAGAAATGTTGTCGCTCACCGACCAGTTTTACTTCCCCGACATGCTAATGTTATTAGCATTAGCCAGGCGGAAATGACACAGGTCACGCATGCGCAGTCAGGTCAGTTTTTCACGAGCGGAAAAACATTTTAACAGATTAAGCGTTTGCATGGACACCGTTCGGGTTAAACCACCCGTTTCGTTCTGATCACAAATTATTTCGGATCGCGTTGAATCAACAAAAAAGAACCCCAACGGGGCGTTTACATGGCGCACTTTTATTCCGAACAGCCGATTAACCCGATTACTTATGTCCATGTAAACATAGCTACTGTCCAGTTTTAAGATTTTCCTTTTTGATAAATTCTATAGTTAAGGTGTGCTCGTTACGCTGCTATACACTTTAGCCTACTAGAGGACAAAATGACCTCATTCCTTAAAATGAATTATTACAATTGAATAGTTTTCATTTGATATTATTTCTATCTTAACATGTGATTGACCTGCCATTGTGTATCTGTTCCTCAAACCCAGACGGTGAAAGCAGATGGACGCCTGTCCCGAGCCTGGTTCTGCTAAAGGTTTCTTGCTCATGAGGGAGTTTTTCCTTTCCACTGTCGCCTTCATGCTTGCTCAAGATGAGAGTTCTGCGATGAAGTTAAAACTCAAATCCGTCTGCTCCTCAGATAACTAATGTTAAATTATTATTTTCTATATGAATGTTTCTGTTCCGTGCCCTGAAATGACTTCTGTTGTGACTTAGCGTTATTTAAATAAACTGAATTGAGTGGTAGCGGATTTTGTGGCAGCTATTTTTTAAATTTGTCTTTCCCATCCGAAGCTCATTTAGTCTACAAATGCAACTGGCATAGCAAACCTTCCCCACCCATTGCATCATAAAGTTTTAAAAAAACTACGACCAACAGAGACGAGTGGCGGTGAGCTTAACGGAGCCGGCGTGCGTTTCAACACCACGCGAGTCGTAGGAAGGTCGCCGTCCACGCCTGATGACTGAAAACAAGTGCGTTTTGGAAAAATAAAGTCACCCGTTTGACCAGGTGAAGAAAGGTTGTGGAGCAGGAGACACGCCTTCAGAGGAGTGACGTGAAGGAAAGAGTTCACTCCACACCCAGGATCCAAAGCTGTAAACTTCTCCATGTTCCCTTTTGACCAAATCGTGTTCAAAACAATTAAAACTTCAAGAAGCTTTGTGAAGAAAACCACCTCTGCTTTAGGTTTAGTCTGGTGTAATGTTAGGACATAAACACAGGAGGAATAGCTCCTGAGCACACTAATGATTGATGAGAAACAGCTCTGACCTTTACATTTAAATAAGAAACAGAATAGTTCAAATAGGTATTCAACCTGAACTAAAGAGATTTTTATCATTCTCAGCAACATTATGTCTGGCCCTTTAATGTGAAGGGCTATGTTGGGGTTAGCATACAAAATAACTGAAACCAGCTTCCTGTGCACAGCTAACGGTTTCTGCTCTTTGCGTCAGGATTTATAACCCATATAGACATTTTATGACGTTAAGGTCCATTTTTAAACAAAGCAGGAACGATAAAACGTTTTTAAAAAAATGCAGCTTTAGCGTGATAGTGGCTCAATCAATGCGCGTGACGCTTGTGCAAGCCGCTATAATGATAAGCGTGAAAAACTCACAGAAGCTACATGCTAACGTAGCCGACGTGACACTTTAAAAACACGTTTTCCCATGATTCACTCACCCCGCCGTATCCTGGATAGGCCATCTGATTGAATAGAGCGAGCTTTTATGAATTTTGGTAGCTTCTCACTTCGCAACTAGCACCGTTTAATCGCTACGAGGCTCGAGCTTCCGAGAAATCTGCTGCTTACGTCACTTCCGCGCTATAGGGTCATGCCGGAAGAAACTTTGATTGACAGCGCAGGGGAACAAATAGGAGGGGAGTGCGTCTTAAGTCCCGCCCACCACTTACTGGTTCCTATTTTTTTTTTTTCTCAAACTAAAAATAAAACGAGATGGCAGCTCCAAACTCATCTTTTAAGCAAAACATAAATGGTAAATAAGAATATATATTTATTAAAACATGTCCATCCATTTAAATGATTTGTGTTAACGCCATAGCGTTTACCTCAGATTAACATTCTTTCCAGTTTTAATTAATTTGTACCATTTAAATTATATGAAAAATGGTATCGTCTTCAATTAACCACTAGATGGTGCTGTAAGAAGCAGATCAGAGTCATAAAACCTAACTGGACCCCAGTGCTTTTTTCCCAGGGGGGTGTGGAAAGGTGAGAAACAATCAGGGCTGGCGGTCAGATCTTTCATCAGAAGTTGAAATAATGACGAGCGGTTGTCTCCTGGGCAGCAGACACCGAGTCGCTGCTCTGTCTTACGCTGACGATGTTACAGTTACAGTTAGAGATCAGAAAGAGTCTAACATGTTAAACTTGTATGGGGAGCAAACCGTGAAGTCAAAAAGATGCATAATGTTTAAAACAAATGGAGGTTTTGTTGAATATAAACATGAAGATTGTAAAGAACGTTAACGATAAAATAATCTCTGGATTCTCGGGACACCGTGTGGCTGATTCTGTCAACAGACTCCATGTCAGAGCAGTAGTTTAAAGGAGCTGTTTTGCTGAAACTAAATGAAATGTCCCATGAGCCTCTGCGATGAAGAGGAAACTGTTCAGCATCTTCTGCTCGACTGCTACGACTGTGGAGGCAAAACTGGTGAAATAAAAATAAAATCTGTCTTTTGTTTAAAGAAAACGTCACAGACTCAAAGAGACGAGCTCTTTCGACTTCCTTCTGGTAATTTAAGCTTCTTTTTAGCTACTTTTCAGCAGTTTTTTTTTTTTTTTTCCAATTTCAGCTTTTATCAGATAATTTTCCCTTTTTTGTGCTCATTTCTGCTTCTTTCAGCAAACACATTCTTTCTGCTTTCTTCTGCTAATTGAAGCTTGTTTTACTTTTTCAGCTACCTTTTGAGCATTTTTAAAAGCTAATTTTAGCTGTTTACTGATAAATTCATGTTTTTCGTAATTTCTGCAACTTTCAGCCTAATTGGGCAAACATGTTCGTTCTGCTTTCTTCTACTAATTGAAGCTTGTTCTTTTTCAGCTACATTTTTTTTAGCTAATTTGATTGTTTTTTTCAGATAAATTCAACTTTTTCGTAATTTCTGCTACTTTCAGCCTAATTAACTTCTTTAAGCCAATTTCAGCTTGTTAAACTCCTTTCATCTTATTTCTTCAACTTTCAGTTATTTCAGCTACTATTAGCTGAAATAAACAGCTAATAGTAGCTGTTTACTAGTTGTTTATGCTAATTTTAGCTTTTTCAGCTAATTTCACATTTTTTGCACTCATTTAAGCTTTTCTCAGCCCAATTCAGCAAAAAGGTGCTCCCTCAACCTCCTTCTGTAATTTAAGCTTATTTCTGCTTCTTTTTTTTTAGCTACTTTTCAGCTTTTTTTGTTTTTGTTGCTAATTTCTATTTTTTTTTTTTTTCAGATAATTTCCACTATTTGAGGCTAATTTCTGCTTCTTTAAGCCTAACTGAGTGAACATGTGTACTTTCTACTTTCTTTTGATAAGTTAAGCTTGTTCTACCTTTACAGCTAGGTTTTTTTTTAAATTTTTTTTTACATTTTTTAGCTAAGTTCAGCTGTTTTCAGATAAATTAAAGTTTTTCCTGGTCATTTCGAGCTAAAACAGTTGCTAAGGCTTTCCAGCTTCTGAAATCTGCATTTAACTACATCCAGACTGATTTGTTTCACCTCAAACTTGTCCTAAATGCCGAAAAAACCAAAGGGATGCTTTTTTCAAATAGGAAGTTGGTCCCAGCAGTTCTTCCTCCGAGTTTATCCTCAAATGGTGTCCCCATTGAGTTTGTTGATTCCTATAAATATTTGGGTATCTTGGTCGACTCACATCTTTCTTTTAAGCTCCATGTGGAAAACTTGGTAAAGAAACTGAAAATTAAACTGGGTTTCTTTTTCAGAAACAGATCCTGTCTAACCCTGAATGCTAGAAAACACCTTGTATCTGTGACTTTCCTTCCCTCAATTGATTTTGGTGATATTATTTACATGAACGCTCCTACAAGAACCCTGCAGATGTTGGATGCTGTCTATCATGGTGCACTAAGATTCATAACTGGCTGTGATTATCGTACCCACCACTGCACCCTGTATTCATTGGTTAACTGGACATCATTAACTTCACGCAGACTCTCTCACTGGTACATTTTCATCTTTAAATCACTTCTTGGTCTGCTGCCTTCATACATCTCCTCCTACATGTCTCTGCGTGAGTGCAGCTACGGAGTGCGCTCTCAGGACATTATTACCTGCAGTGTTCCCTCAGTGAGGACTGAACTAGGCAAAAGGGCCTTCTCCTACTCCGCTCCTGTTTCCTGGAATATCTTACAAAAAGATTTGAAGCTCTCGACCTTGACCTCTCTAAGTGGCTTTAAGAATCTGTTGGACTCCTGGCAGGGACCAATGCAGACATGTTCCTGTTTTTAGTTTTATACATTTGTCTCGGAATCTAGCAGTTTTTTTGGTTTTGTTACCTTTTTCCTTTTAGCCATCCTATTTGTTAAAAAAAAAAAAAAAAAAAAACTGTAGTATGAGTTTTTATAACTGCTTATTGTTGTTGCTGTTGTCCTTTGTTGTCATCTTTCTTTGTTGAAATCAGGTCTCTCTTGTAAATGAGTCCTCGAGGCTCAATGGGATTTACCTGTATAAATAAAGGTTGATTGATTTCTGCTACTTTCAACCTAATTTAATCTTTATGCTAATTTCAGCGTGTTTATGCTCGTCTCAGCTCTTTTTCTCCTAGTTTCAGCTTTTTCTGCTCTTTCAGCTAATATTTAGCTGTTTTATGCCAACTTTAGCGTTTTCCGTTAATTTCACATTTTCTCAGCTCATTTCAACTTCTTCGGTTTCTTTCAGAAAATTTAAGCTCATTTCTGCCTTTTCAGCTACTTTCAGCATTTTATTGATAATTTCATCTTTTTAAGCTATTTGTCCTATTTTTGCCCTAATTTCTGCTTATTTAAACCTAATTCAGCAAATATGTGTTATTTCTGCGTTCATCTACCAAGTTAGGCTTGTTCATTCATTTCATATATACTTGTATACTTGAAAACATACTTCAGCATGTTTTTAGCTAATTTCAATGGTTTTTCAGCAAGTTCTTCTGAAATAAGCATTCACACTGTATTTTCGCAGGAACTGCAATTTCTCTACTTTTAAGGTGTATTTAATTTTTGATGGGCTATCCAGGTGTATTTAGTTTTCTGATGAACTGTCTTAAATTGTGATGTATATGATTTGTAATTTGAAGTATGTTCATGTGTACAATCTTCAAGTAAAGTTTATAAAACAAGAAAGGTGTGTGACTACTGAAGAGATCCAACTGTTATTATAACCGTTACAGTAATGACCTGCATCTGTTGGAGTCAAAGCCTCGCTTGTGTTTATCCCTGAGAATAAACACTACAAAGTCTCCTACAGGAACTGGTACAAGCTGAAGATTTCCCCACATACAGTAATTGCCCAGCATTTCTTGCAGAATGTAAACAGTAACATACAGTGAGGCTCTTACAAATTCCTGCATGTTAGCTCGGCTAACAAGTCAAGTCAAGGTTTTTTATTGTCATTCGCACCACATGTGGTACATGTGGCGGAACGAAATTGTGTACCCAGGGTCCCAGTTACATCCAACAAAAGTATAAATTGAAAAGAAAAACAGTAGTAAGAGCTAAGATATGAATTAATATGCTAAAACTAAGAATATACTAAGCACTACTTTGGGACTCGAATGTATTTTTGCCATGGAAGCACTGCAATGGCCTATGGTCAACCCTACGCTACCCTTTTCTCTATGCGCTTAATTCTGTTCAGGGTGTAGTGAACCAGATAACCTCAAATCTACCAGATGGACAGAGACTGTTATTTTCATTGATCTGAATAAGTCTGAACCATCTGATGAACTTTCTTTCTTGAATTAATCAAGCAGAAAAGACAATTCTTTATAATCATTACTGTCTTACAAATGTTTTGATAATCAAATTGTGTTAGTTCACTCAATGCTTTACAGGTTGAAAAGAACTACTAATTTTTATTTTTACATAAACAGTAAGTAATGATTTTTGTTCCTCATTCAGAGAAGAAATCACCTGAATATGCCTTTCTTGATTTTCTGTCTGAAATGAGCAAGCTGTCGTAAGTATGTTAAAGGTTGGTTTTCGGTCAACTAAAATGTTTACCGAGAAAAATGTCATGTTTTACTATTTGAAAAGATTACAAAGTGTGAGACTCCACGAAGTCTGCTGTTGCTGCAATAATCTTTTCTGTATGTTGTAAACAATCCTTGACTTATGATAACATCTTACGTCACAAATCCACTCCTCTTTCTGGTCCTTCCACGAATCAGAAAGCTCTAAATTGAACAGGAAGTCGACCCAAATAAAATGTGGCAACTTCTCAGTTCATAGAGAAGAAAAGGAATAGAGAATTATGGATTCCAGAATTCCAAGAGAATGAGAGTTCTGAGAGATGTTGGAATGAGAGCTGACAACAGGTCCGATAGTCCAACAGAATGAGCAGATTGAGAGTGCAGCCGGTTATGAAGAGTTTGGAGTTATGAAGAACCAGGAACGTTTGGGATTATAATTCTGTTTTGAGCTAATCAACGCACGACTTTCTGAAGGTTTGGTAGCTCTCGACGGAGACGCTGAAACGAGTCAGAAAGGAACTACATCCAGCGCTGATTCATCGTCAACAGGTAGATGGTTCTATTTTGACCAAGTGTACCGTGAGAAGCTGAGGATCTGACGAAGCGTGCAATTTCTGGTTAAACAGATTAAACTTC